CTGACGCCTGTTACTCCCGATGGAGCATAGGCCACCAACCAGCATTCTCCAACTCACTCTGTCCTGAGCCTTCCTTTCCAGTACTATCCAACTGTTGTTCATTCTTGTCATGCCTGTCTCCATTTCCCGGCCTAATGTGTTCTTTAATCTTCCTCTCCTCTTTTAGCCTTCAGGATTCCATGTGAGGGCTTACCTTGTGACGCAGTTCGGTGCTTTCCTCAATGTGTGTCCTATCCACTACTAGCATGTCTTCCTGATCTCTTCCTCCTCTATGATCTGGTTAGTTCTTTTCCATAGTAGTTTGTTGCTAATAGTGTCCGGCCAACGGATCCGAAATATTTTGCATAGACAACTGTTAATAAACACTTGTATGTTGTGGATGATGGCTTTCGTAGTTCTCCAGGTTTCCGTCCCATACAGTAGAACTGTCTTGACATTTGTATTGAAAATCCTGACCTTGGTGTTGGTTGACAGTTGCTGAGTTCCAGATGTTGCTGCTCTTGCTTTTCCGATCCGCGAATTCACATCTGCATCAGATCCATCGTGTTCATTAATGATACTGCCCAGATTTGATTTACAAGCAGAGTAACTTATATGAAGGTATTAATAAATTTATTAATTACATAAAATCAGTTCCTTTTTTATACACTAACGAAATTCGTTTATAAAAGCGATTTTCTGAATGGCTGGAAACCAAACTGAAATTTCATCACACTTGTTTTTAACTTGTCGCTATACAACAATTTTAGCATGTATTTTTTGGTTTATTGATTGAAAAGAATTCAGTCAACTAGGTAAATAGGTTGGTCACTTTCATAACAGTAATGTCCTTGTTACATACCACTGTCTTCAAATCTATAAATTGTACTACAATCCTTATTATAGAATCTAATGTTTCCTTTCTATGATCACGGAGTTGGTAAATCTAACTAATAATGTGTTTTTTTATAAAAGATCCCTTCAACTACACATCTTGCCCTACGCTATTTCAATTGACTGTCCTACCAATCTTGTAGAAAAATACTACAATAAATCTGATAAGTTTCTTGTTGATTCTAATACATAGAACATAATGGATCAAAGTTGTCTATTTTGGTTTAAAGTAAAAAGAAAAAGGAAAACTATGTCACATTTAAGTTTTATTCACGATCTAATGGAATTTTGTTTTTAAAAGAAAATAACATTGAAAGACTTTAACTACCATTATTTACTTGACAATATACAAACTCCCACTCTTATGAAATATCTGAGATTCAGTGTGTAGGAAGTTTACTATTGAACTGTAAAGCATGTCGAGGCATACGCACAGTATTCACGTATGCCAATAACAGACTGATCAATTGCAGTCTTAAACCTCATTGGGAAGATACAAGCCAAACAATACCAAGTGGACATGTCTATCGCTGTTTTGATTTTATCTCTTAGTTGACGAATCTGTTTCTGATGATTATCTTTTAGTATATGAGTATCTGTTATACTTGTGATCGCCAATTAGGGAGTAGTGAATTATTGACCGGATCAATGACGCGTACAACACTTGCAAGCAGCCTAGAGTCCTTATGTTATGTCCCGACAAGAATGATGAATAGTAGCTTTCGGGATCTATTGATGGACATATACTAAACGTATATTTTTATTGTATAATTATTAAGTGACTAAACTATGCTTATTCATATTCCTCTTATTATAAGCTTTATTTTGATCCATGAACTATTATTATACGTTTCCCATTCTTGAGTTATACCCAGTATATCAATTACTACCTCCCTCATTCACAGCCACATCTGGCTAATTCTTGTACAAATGTTGTTTCATATTTTATTGGAGCGTTGTGGTCTGTTTAATTCGCATATAAACTCAGTATGTTTGAAATATAATGATTCATATTTCAGAGGCTGAGACTGGTGTTCTGGACTTAACTGGCTGGGCTAGGCGGAAAGCAGGACCAATCAGGACTCTAGGCTACCCGCACGTGTTTTACACGTCATTGATCCGATCGATAAGTCACTGCCCTCTAATCGGCGGTCACAAGTTATAACACCTTATTAGACCTGCTTCCTGCCTAGCCCAGCCAGTTAAGTCCAGAACACCAATCTCAACCTCTGCAATATGAATCGTTTATTTCAAGCATACTGGGTTTATATACCAAACAGATAGACCACATCGTACCATAAAATAGGAAATAACATTTGTACAAGATTTGGCCAAATGTGGCTGTGAATGTGAGAGGTAGTGATTGATAGACAGTCCATAATTCAAAATGGTAGATCGTATAATAATAGTTTATATGTCAAAATAAAGCTCATAATAAGTGGGTCATGAATATGTATAGTTTAGTTATTTAACAATTATACGATAAAAATATAAGTATAGTATAGGTCCATAAATGGATCCCAAAATTTACCATTCACTATGCTTATCGGGACCTAAAAGTATCCTGCGCAAATACATCAGGCTGACAAGTCCCAAAAAGAACAATACGCACATCCTCAATTCCACTGCTGGTCACAGTTCAACTTTGCTCATAAGATATGAACAAACGATTCTGAATAAGTTTAGTCGCTGATTATACAGAAGGCAATAAAAATACGATTTTATTTCAAATATGCCTAATAATACAAACGTTCTAGTGCATAGTTCACTAGAAAACATTTAGCGATACACTTCATACTGCTATACAACCTTATAAGTAGTTCAGAACTAATCCTACAAATTCAAAGTTCTCACTACTTACTTACGCCTGTTACTCATTGTGAAGGAGCATAGGCCGCCCACCAGCACTCTCCACCCAACCCTATCCTGGACTCACTAACCAGACAATATTGAACTAAGGATATATATGAATTAGCTTTACTGTTCTTATTCGTCTTACCATTTAGATCATTTAATGAATCTTACATTGTGACCTATCAATCGAAGACTTGAAATGAAAAGCATTATTCATCAAAATTATTATGGAAAATTACCATCAATAGGAATGAAAATAAATGACATTCAGCTAATACTGAAAAGATATATATAAAGACCGATCATTAGTTAGATTCCTACCTGTAGAGTCATGGATGGTCACTGCTGGGGAGTGCTTACACTGAGACAAAACAGCTGTCCAGTGCTTCCAGGCTTTCGAATATTGTCTAACATAGATCAGTCCGTGATATCAAGAAAACGTAATTAAATAGTTTGTTAATTTAGAAATCTATGAAAATCGATGAGATATTGCTTATTTCTTGTTGAGAAATCTTTATTCCAATCGAATATATGGTACTAAATAAAGCGAAAATTAATATTATCATTATCATCGATACCTTAATCCTACTTATCATACTGTTGTATCTTGACATAAATACTGATTACTAGTACGACTGTTTCCTGTGACCCCAAAATAATTGCCTACTAACACTAATCGCAACAGAATATGACTAGTATGTTGACATAAGGAAGAAAACAAAACTGTATAAATGGACTGATTTATTCACCGATCACTAATTAATAAGATATTGAAAACGATCATGAAATATTTGACATTTTAAATGCTCGATCTGTAAGTAAATTCGAGTACATTGAACTATTAGTCAATCAGTAATTTAATGTGTTTATATAACTTACAAAATTAATAAATCAACTGCCTTATCTGTAAGATATAACTCGTCACGTGATCATAGATTTGTCTTCTTACCACATACACTACTTGTTAGTACCTTACATTGGTAGATATAAATTTTTGCCTCTTTTAGTACATGCCGATTCGGTGCGAAATGATTCGACATTGCTACTATACCCCATAAGCATTATAGGCAGAGTCGGATAGTAACTAGTTCTGAGCCTTTGAAGCGAAAAGTACTAGGTTTGAGTCCTAATGTGGGCATCAACACTGATGTGCAAACATACCCATCTGACGAACCCAAGTAGGACAAAACGCGTGTCTAGATACCACTGCTAACCAATACCCAACTTTGCTTGACACATTAATGAGTATAGAGAGTTTGTGCTTACTAAACATTAACTTAAGCAGGTAATTCAACGAGTTCTACTGAAAAGTCATGACAAGTGGAGTCTAACCATGGTGTGTAAGAGACAGTTATTCGCCACAAGCATTGGAAAATGGTCGCACAATACAGTGAATCGATTAAACTCTTACAAGTACACAATTGAATGCTGACTTGATGGTGAGGTGCTCTCTGCAACATCGAAGGCCATAGGTTCGATACTCAGTAGAGTCGTTGATACGTATTACTTAGGTGTCCCATACTAGGATGAAACAGATGTTTATTGCTTCCGGGTTTTCGGTAGTCGCTTCATTAAGACCAGCTGGTAATGTAAACTATGAAGATTAAGACACGAACAATTTATTCATTCATAGCCAATTATATTATTAGTCCTGGAATATACTAGGTGATCATCTTATTACATATTGTTAAACATTCTCTAAGTATTTGAAATGAAATTATGTTCTTTAATATAGTAGACGAAATCTTTCATACAAAGATTCTTGATGTTTTAAAGTAAATCCATCAACTAAGAGATAACCGTGTCTTTTTTTAACAAAATTAACATTTGATTAAAACAAATGATACCTGATCTAAATGTATAAGAGAATTGTTAACACTCTAAGAATAGTTTACTGTTATAATATAACCAGTATATATTGTTTTTACAACGATATTAAACACTTTTTCAAAGACCGACAGAAAAATATCTTATATACTTCATGATGAACGTTCTGTAAGTATGGAAATACGAATATTCAAGTATATGTATATGTTAGCTCTCATCTCATATAGCTTTTATTCACTTGATAGAACCTTTGAAACAAATACAAATACACTAGATTCTACACTAAGTATACCGGTTAATTTTTGCCATCATTTCATAATGTAACATTATCAATGATTTGAATCTATTGGATCTGTATGTTATTTTAAACGGTATTTAAAGTTATTTTTCTGTGTTAAAAGGAAGTTGAACCAAACAACAAATCAATGAGTTGGTTTATCTATTATTTAACACAAGTTAGTTGTTGAATCAAATTCATGGAAATAATAACGACGTTGACCGGAAAAAACCGTATCTGAATTCCATAACATTAATTCTGATTCAAACAATCCGGTAACAGTAATCGTATCACCTATTGATCATATCAATTATAAAGTGTTAACAATTACAGAGCTCTATTGGACTAAATTAGTTAAAACAAGGCGACATTATGAAAATAATCTATCAGATTATAAGAAAAGATGGATAGTGGCTACAAGTGGAATCCAGGACACGTGTTTCGTCCTATTTGGAACTCATCAGCTGGATGCACCTGCATCTTAAAGTTGATGTTCACTCTTGGACTCGAACCCGGTACCATTCGCTTCCAACGCCATCGCATAATACAGTTAGCGATATCGAGGCAATACGCACAGTATGCATATATGCCAATAAGAAATTGATCAATTGCAGTCTTAAACATCAATAAGAAGATTTAATTAAAACAATACTGTGACGACGGATCACCGGCGAACTCGAAGAAACTGTAAGAGGCTCAAGAGCCGAAGATGTTCCATCCAATCACCTTTCGGAAGAATATTCTAGAATTCCTACGTGTAGCTTCCCGATCGGATAATGCTAATGACAAATACCAAGTGAATTCTATCAGATTATTATTATTAATAATTAATAATAATAATAATAAACATTCCTTTGAATTACTCTTTTTAGAGAGAGAAAAGAAAAAGGAAAAAAAATTGATAAATACTAACTGTGATAAGAAAAACCAAATGAGAAATTCTCATGGACAATAAACAGATTAACAATGATAAAATATCAAGCAATAATAATAATAATAATAATAATAATGGTAGTAACAAAGGCAATTTTCCAAGAAGATAAGGTCACTGATATGAACAAATAATTAACAACAAAAATATTATATGATGAAAATAAATACTAAAGAACCGGAAAACAAAACAAACAACTAACATAAAACAAAATACATTTGAGTTTTTACAAAAACAAAATGGCGCTTTATGGAGATTGTGGAAAGGCAAATAGATGAGTGAAGTACACAGAGGGGGGGGAGGGAATTGGAGAAAACAGGGTAGAATAGTCTAGAATTGTTTTCTTTTTTTTGCTAGTTCATCTTCATGATTTACAATAACATGTCAATAATAATAATAACAGTAAATATTCTGGTTAATGATAAATAGACAGAAAGAAATATGATTAAGTATACATAATATAGACAAAAATAATTAATAAACATTCATTTATCCCTAGTTATGTATTCATGATTTATGGAAACAGCTAAAAAGTGTTCGTTTACCTTTTTTGAGTTCATTTCCTGATGGATCTAATCTATGATATGAAATAAGAAAAGAATATGTAATATTTTGATAAGAATGATGTTTGTTAAGGAAAACTGTTAAAATACTTCGTGCTGAAAATTCTATATTGTCAGAAGGGGTTTGTGAAGATTTTAGAAACGACTGTTCAGTGCTTCCAGGTTTTCCATGGTGGTCTAGCTTCAACTGACTCATGATTTCAATCAGTGAAATTTCTAAAATCTCCACAAACCCCTTCTGATAATAATCATCTGCTCACTAGTGACTGACTTCAAGAGATACTCCTGGAGTTCTAGTGGGAAGCCGTTACCAGTGGAGTATAACCAGGTCTGTTGTGAGATATTAGCTCACTGAAGATAATGGTATACGGTGGCGCAACTTCGTGGATTGGTTGAAGTTAGACATTAACACAGTTGGATGATGGCCAGCTCAGTGGTCTAGTTGGTTAAGTGCTCGCGCGCGAAGCCAGTAGGCCCTGGGTTCGAATCCCGCGGGGTGTGGGATCGTGGATGCGCACTGCTGAGGAGTCCCATACTAGGACGAAACGGCCGTTCAGTGCTTCCAGGTTTTCCATGGTATTCTAGCTTCAACTGACTCATGATTCCAATCTGTGAAAATTCTATATTGTACCAAAAATATAATATTGAATAAAGCCAGAAAAAGAAAGTGGTCAACACATTGAACAACTTCCCTCCTAATTTTTAGCTTAGGTGTTGACGCAAACCAGTACTAAGACAAGGTTCTGCATTTAGGTGGGAAAAAACGTATCTTAAACATGGTTATATTATTACATAAGGTGGTCAGAAGACTCTACACTTTTTTTACACCAGTTTCAGAAAAGAGAATGAAGACAGTTAAACAACTTAATGGATATAAGGAAAAAATAAGAGATATAAAAACTTACCCAAAAACAAGATATTCATAAAACCATTGAGGTACAATATGAAGAGAGAATGGTGAATTAGCACGTTCAACTAATAAAACTATTTTTTCATCTAATAAACGAACAGTACTATGACCATCAATTTCAGTAATATAATAATTCAATGGAATTTTATCACTTTTTGCACTGAAATATTTTGTACGATCTAAAATCATACCATCATTGATGAAAAGACCACATTTTCCATGAATTTTATAAATTGTTTTAACTTCTCTATAAGGGCTAAATAAACAAACAAACATGAAAACAATATGAATAAACTTGTACAGTCGATTCGCTATATTGTTTGTTTGTTTACTATAAATATAACTTCTTGATCTAATATTCAATAGATGTATGAGATAACTGTTATATACAAACGAAGAATAAAGGAATGGTAACATCCAGGACTAACTTACGGATTGGTGTTATATACATATAGGCCGCCTACCAGGATTCTTCAACCAACTGTCTCCTTAACGTATGTGGCGTACATTGTGTCATCGACTGATTCCAAAATAATGCCTTCTATCATAATACGTACATAATGAGAAACAAGTGTAATGTTGAGTCTTTAGGAGCAGGTCAGGTTTTATTTAGCTCATAAATGCGCCAATTACGTCCTTACCTGTCTTCATATGCTTCGACACCACTACGTGTATTACAGGTCACCAATAATTATTATATTTCTACACATTGGAGCTATATTTAATTCGTTGGATGGAGTCGTCTTCTAGTATTGTTGAATATTAGTAGATATTTGCGATGTTTACTACAATTTTTAAGACCTTGTCAAAAACATTGCAGGTAGGTCAAAGCCACATGACCATATTCCTAAATTGTTCGAAATTGGAAGTACTGTCGTTAAATCCACTCAATTAACTACAATTACGCTATCAATCACATTCTAAGGGTGTAAATTTATCACTAGTTGAAAGGTGCTTTGACCTTGAGTATGAAAACATCATTTCAATATGAAATGAGGTACAGACTATTCATTCCATCAATTGTTGATCAGCAACCGTAAGTATAGTATGTGTTTAGCACGAATGAAATGTAAAGCACTTCTACAAGACTGATATAAATCTATGGCTTCACTCACACTTTATAGTGTATTGCTCAAAATATTTAAAAACTTTGTGTACACTTGTGGTTGTGTAAATGCCAGAACAAGATCAATATTAATGTGATGCAAACCTGAGAGCCACATATCAATATGAATCATTGGATGAATGTTACTATCTTGGAAACATCCAATCTGGTGGTTGAGCCACATTTTACAAATGTCCTCTCAGAGGCTCCCCATAAAGAGAATTATTTTTTGATACTTAGATAAGATGGAAATAAATTGAGACGCACTGTTGAACGTAATGTATTTGTATGGAGCTAGCAATCTTTTGGTTTACAACAATAGACTAAAGGGATTTATGTTTTAAACTATTTACATTATTTATTTGACTACGTAAAATGTTATCACCTATAGGTCGAAATAAAAGCCAATGATGATGCTGAAATGATTTTTTGATCATATCCCTTGTGAACAGCATGGTAGACCATTTAAGCGAACTTGGACTGCTTCAGTTAATACTTTTTACCGTAGTTTTTAAGATTTATTCTATTTTATTTATTAAAAATATTGTCATTTCATTTTATGTGAGACATTTATTGGCTCCCTCTTTGTACCAAACACCTTTTGTGCGTAATAAGTCTTAAAATACAGTTGTTAATACTTGAGTTGAAACTTTGTTAATCAAAAATCCACTAATATAAATGTAACCCGTCGAGCAACTGAAACGCTTAACGTGTTGGAGTGATCCAGAAAATTTCTTACAAAAGACAAGCAAGGATCAGGAAACACTAAGAAGCGTTTCATTCAAGCAGCGTTCACTTAAAGTTTTAGCCAAAAATATCAAGGAAGCGAAAAGTCACATGCAGAGGTTCTGACTGGCTGATTGCTACACTGCTACTATGTTTAGTAGCATTCCAGAATCTTCGAGCAACCCAAAAACATTTTAAAATATTATAAAAACCCTATATTTTCTGTGTTAAAATGAACCTTGGAGTAAAGTACTTCTCGCATACTTTGCGTCTTCTCTCTCGTTGTTCAGGTCGCTGTATAGTTCTAGCTTGGGGGTTACAGAATAGCTTAGGAGACGAATATGGCGTTCAATTCGCAAGACTTATCATAACGTATCTAACCAAATCAGCTATTAATATTAAGTTAGTCAGTCAGTCATCTACAACACAGGACCAGGCAAATATATGCATCGGTTCAAGTTTCCATAAATCATTAGTACAATAAAATGAACACCAAATTCATAAAAACAGTTAATTCAGTCGCAGCAGTATATATATAAAAGACTTTATATAAGGATATGATACAGGCAAAAAGAATTACTTCATAAAAAGAAAGGTAGAAAGTAAATTTAATCTCACGGTTTAAGGGAAGATAAAGAGTGTATACACCAACGCCTTTGTGGTCGATTCTCAGACATGTCGTCCAAGTTATTAGTATTAAACTGGACACTAATTTAAACCACAACTGAAATAAACTTTTCATCTTGGGAGTAAGTAAGACGATTCAAGCACTCCGATATTTCACATCAACGTATCGTGAAATGACGAAGTAATTATTGTGCCCATTGACAACAGAAGTTAATTTGGCCTAAGAATAATAAAATATCAAACTGCACTTCTCAAATACGTTACACAAACTGAAACGCACATTTTTCCACTTAATATAAATCAAACATTATTAATACTTATGTTCATAGGGTAGGTAACTTTGGGACTTTATATGTCTCCCCTGTCTTTTCAATTCAATTCGTTTTTTTATTTGTTAGGTAACAATTAGAAAACTATGCAAATTCAATTTTCACTCTTTAAGCGGTCCAAATAACTATTAAGTACTTTTAAAAACTATTTAAATAAGAGAAAACAAACATAATCTTACCAGTCGATAAAAGAAAAATTTACAGTTGGATGTGTTTCTTCAATAAGTTGTTTAGCTTGAGTATAAGATGTAACTTCTGTATCATTTATGCATTGAATCTTATCACCAAAACGTACTTTATTCAACTTTGCAGAAGATCTTTCGTCTACATGAGAAACAAATAATCCCTTTAAACAAAAGAAAAACAAATCCAAAATAAATAACGTGTGCAACTTATTGAAACAGAAAAAAAACAATGATAAACGAATGACAAAAGCATATCTGATTATGATAATACACTTTGCATCCTTCAGAATGACTGTAATCTAAGCTACAATCCCAAATGTAATAGGCTTGAACTCAACATTTTATAGAAGCAAAAGTTTAAACTATATTTAGGCTTTTTCTCCAAAAAACTTGATAAACTCTTTTACATCCACTAATGAGATAAAATATTTCAAAAACACCTAGTCACAGGAGTCGTAGCTATTTTTTTTACTAGTGAAACGTTTTTATCCGACATCTCTTTATATTAATTACTTTACTAGTAAGTTTTCAAGATGTCGGAATAACCTACTCTAATCTGTCAGTGAAATAAAATCACTAGGATCAGTTATTCATTGCATTAACATATATCTCTCCCCTAAAAAATCCTTAAAGGTGCATACATCTGGAACTAGACTCTATTAAATTTTTAATCAATGTTATTACCAAGTGTACTAATTAAAATTTCCTAGCTGCAAATATTTTACATTTACAGAGTCCTTGGTAAATTTAACTAATTTAAATAAAATCCATCCCAATCCGTAGATTATAAAAACAACTCAACACTTGGATAGCGGCAAACGAATCAAAAGAATTTTTATTGCTCCAGTTCTATGCTCTCTCTCTCTCTCTCTCTCTCTCTCTCTCTATATATATATATATATATATATATATATATATATATATATATATATATATATATATATATATATATATATATATATAAATTTATTACCTGTTTTATTTCTGTAAATGTAAAGCCGACGTTATTATTTTTGGTTTTAGCAATTGAAATTGTTCGACAATTAGGACCACCATCTTCAATTAAGGATACCAGACTAGGACTAAGTGGTAATTGTGTACAACTTTGTATTGGTAATACAATATCATCATTACTAACATCACCATTATTGACATTATCCGTTGAACTAGGAGTTTCTTTCTTTTCAGTGACACATGACATTGAATTATCACGCATAGCTAACAGTCCTGTGATCTCCAATATTTCATCATATGATGTTACAATCTCCTTAGAATTTTGATCGTCCTCAGACATTGTACTTTTTTATAATATAATTCATTGAAGAGCCGAATGAATAATCTTCAAAAACTACTGGTTACTAGTTTGCAACCCGATTAATCAGGGAGTATAATACAAGGTCCACAGATGATATGCTTATACAAAATAACTAGGCTGTAAAGAACATTTGAGTTGTAACGTGGAGTAGTTTTCAAACTGGAGTTAAAAAAACCTGGAAAATGAGTAACGAAAAGGACAACCAATAGAATATAAATGTTCTAATATTAAAAACTGACTTTCGTTTTCTTTAAGTACATTTATCGCAAAGATGTTGATTAATATAAAAATTGAAAATCTTTCATCCGTTGAATGTAAGATGTTTGGTAACTAATTTTTCTCGACAATTCCCGTTGTTAAAGAGACTATAAACTTGATATGACTATGAAATAATATTGTTCTGGATAAACTCTCAATGTCTTATAATGCAAACACTCCTGGATAATGCTTTATCAGAAATTGTAACTGTCATGAAGGACTCCTTTGATGATTTGATGAGACTAAATTTTGGATTTTTAAAATCAATAAATCAAAGGTTAATTAATAGATAAACATAGTGATATGATGCGATTGAGTGGTAGCTGTTTACAAGACCGTATTATTAACTCAAGCCCCATATGATTAGAAATCGAAGACGATACTACTGAGCCAGAAAATAAGACACTTTAATCACAGAAATAACTTGCTTATATACATAATTTGAATACAAGATAAACATGGCCGACTGTCATAGGCGATCAAAAGGTATTAGTTCGTATGTCATACATAATCCAATCAACCAAAGCCTACCTGTAAGGTTCAATTTTCGGGGATCATTTCAAAAACCAAGATTCAGTCACGAGGATTGATTCAATAGCATTAGTCGCATACTACAAGGCTTTTACCCTTGTCACACCAGGAATTAAGTTTACTTAGGAGAAAATCATCTGCTACACATTCTGGACTGCGATATACTACAACTAATTCAATATCTTGCCGTCTACATTTCCGCTCACATCGCACAAGTTCACATGTACCTGAAACACGTGCCATTGTCTCAGCTACTCTTATGGTTAGGGTACTTTTCGTGTACATGATAACCCCGTCTCCCCTATGGTTTAATCTATCAGCCCTACTGGTTAAAAAACCAGTCAACTGAATTTCACTATCTAGTAATTCTGACGTTAACCAAGTTTCTGAGACAGCAATAACATCCGGTTTTTCTTTATTCACCAATGGCTTGAGCTCCGCCACTTTATTTAGTAGGCTGCGAGCATTTGTGAAGCGTACCTTTAAGTCTGTAGAGAACTTTTCCTTACCACCCAGAATGGTTTGGGGATCGTTTTGTTCTGAACTTTTACAATTTGAAAACCCTTAAGAACGAGGTTTCTTTCACCTTTTCGGTGACGCTAATTTATTTCTACTTCTGCAGCTTGTCTCTTAGTACGACCAGCTAGACTGAGATCCTCACGGACGTATATTCCGGATCCAATCAGTTTACATGAGTTACCTAGAATCAGGTCCCTTTCTTCAACTGTGGCAAATGCAAAAGATTTTTCTGTTGAAGACAGAAATCCATGTAGTAAGGTGAGATGCGATATTGTTCATATCACCCTTTCTGACCCCCTTCTTTCATTTTGAGAAAGTAGCATCGCTGCGGATGTTGGTTCTTAGGAAAACACCTTAATCTTGTCACGCAAATATGAAGCCAGCAGTACTTCTTTCCTGAACCTTAACTTGCTGCTCTGGAACCAGTGAGCTTACAGGCGAATGATAGACAAGTTGGTCTTAAGTTTTAGAGAATCATATTGGTAATTTGACAAGATTAACATGTATTTTAAGTCAGCTAAAAAAGAGTACCATTGATAAGCTAAAAGTCAAGATTCCTCGCCTACATACATTATGAGACTTTACAAAATACGTTTATGCTAGTTAATTTCGAAAGTTTATTCTAGACACAGAACAGTACTGTTATTTGTCAAGTTCACCTGAGTGATTCTTATGAGCGTAATAATTATTTCTTTCCAATATTAGACCGAAGATAACATAAACTGTGTATTTTAAACAAAACAGCAACCCAAAATCGAGCATAAAATTGTACCTTCAAACCAACACTTCGAATTGTCCCTCAAGTGACCTTGTGTTTCCTAGCTTTCAAAGTTGTGACCAATATTTCTTAAAGTTTCAATATTATTAAGACCTCAAAATTTGGTAGACAGAAATGATAAACTGTTTTTTCCTTTTTGACTTGTATTCATGTAGCGATAAAGCGGTTTTACAGCCATTTATAGCTGTTTATTCTTTCAAGTTTTTAAGGATAAATTTATAAAATCTTGCATTGTCATGTGACATTGTACATATAATAATAATGCAATTCATATGTTGCATTGAAGAAGATATATAATTCCTATTTTCGTTGTATACACGCTTAAATATACCATGCAATGTAACTACATTGCACATGTTACAGTGTAGTGACTCACGTTTATCACGAGAACACGACTGGTTTAATAAAAACAATTATTATTATAACCACCTGTACCAGTGTTTGTTTTAATGTGCTTTTGTTTAACTGTGCTAATTATAGCCATTTTGTGCTTCCATTACCTTCCATCATTGTTCCGCGGTTTTTGGTACTGTTCGCACGTACTCCTGTCTTCTGCTTTCGCTTGTACCTCTTCTTGGCACGATCTCGGTATTCGTTCAATACCACGAGATCGCCAACGAAATAAATCTGGTTACGTTCATAGTTAATCTCAACTCGACGTCACGCTACAACAGATTACCCTATGCTTCATGAGATTTCTGGCTCTCCTTATACCCAAACGTTAAGATATATTTTATTTCACGCCGTTGATATTCGTGCGTCGAAAAAACTTAAACCCTAGATGAGGAAAATAAGATTACGATATTTCTCAACAAAGACATTTTGCTCAGGTAGCATTCCCTGTCTATTAATAGTTATTATTTTACTCCAGTTGATATAGATTGCTGTTTTCTGTGCTAACCATTTGGAATTGCTTTGATATGCTACTATTACCACTTGTATGTTAACACTTTTGATTGAGTCTTCATGCCGTGTGCCAAAAATGGTTAGAACATCGGTCAATAATGAGAATAATATACGAAGAGTAACAATATAATATCCATTGGTACCCACAGAAATATGGTAAAGGTTGACCTATCTTTTGAGAAATTTGACTAAGAGCGTCATCATTGTTTCTATTGATGAGGAGTTCCACAAATTTAAGGTCATGGTGATTAATTATTCCACAAAACTCATGTACAAAAAAAATGAACTGGATGTGTCACAAATGTTTATCACCAACCTTATAAATGTATCGGTCTTCAACTTGATGACTTTACTAATGATCCAAGCATTTATTTTAAACCGTTTCTCTCAAAGATTCCAAATGTCTGAATAACTTCGTGTTTCTCTACAAATCTCAGGATAATTCGCATGTATCACGCTTTGAGTACCTGTGAATCACGCTAATCAACAATAAACATTAAGGTAGATCAGACCCCCGAAACGGAACCATGCTATACTCCGCTCGCCGTAGTAAAGAGAAAAATCCTGGAAAACTCCAAGAGCTTATGGTTCCTCCGTCGATTAGTTTTACAACCACTTCTTCAGACACACTAATAGCAGTGTAACGACAGAAATTCCTATATTCGGTTTGAACTAACAAACAAAAGATTATTTCAGTAAACCAGACCACGTTCTTCTGTATAACATACAATGCATTTTTGAGTGACTCATATCAAATTATATTAAAATATCAACTCTGTGTTCGATTTAAACGGCTCTAGTTTGAGGAAGAGAACAAATTATATAGAAAGTAAAAAATGCCCAAAACGGGACAGCTTGTGCAATACAGTCAAGGATTTTTCTATTAAAAACAAACTCGCCAAACAATAAAGCAAACAGTAAGTAAAAAGAACTCAATACTTGAGGATCATAAAAATATTCCTAATAAGATGTGATCGAAAATAGCGAGACTATAACTTATGGGCAAACCAGTTAGATTTAAGATAACAGGTCTCGGATTTGACCGCCAAATTCATACACTTGTACTGTGGCGTGCAGTGGCGGTTGACTATGATCAACAATGCAGAAAAACTATGTGTCAGTTAACCGATAGGATCCCTCGTAGGCCAAATATCAAGAGGCAGTTGACGGCTGTAGCCGAGATATATTTGATGGCGATCTCGTGTTATCAAAAGAATACCGAGATCGTGCCAGGCTACAAGTGTGGTTACTGAGCGTAAACGAGTACGCGCAGGGTCACAATCAACGGAAGAATGAATGTGTTTTGGTACAGTTAAACAAACAAGCACGGTAAAACAATCCCTAGTACAATTGGTTATAACAATAATTGTTTCCATTACACTAATCGCGTTCTGTCGATAAAAGCATGTCACTACACACTCAATTAGCTCAATACTATCTCGTCATTATAGCTGGCGTAAGTTCGTGATAAAAACCCTTAATCTAATTCTTAACCTTGTCATTCCTCACACTGCTTTATAACCCTCTTTTAATCTTATGTAGTATATCGGCATCTCCAAGGTCACTTTACGTTGCTCAAAGGTCATACACAACTTGTTATCTCACCTTCAAATAACTGTCTACAAGGATTCCAGGAACCTCGTAGTGCTATGAAAACACACGTAGCTTATTCTAGCATCCACACAGGTCAATTCATTCTTCTTGAGTCACATTTTGACCTTGTTAATCATTCGCTCATCAATCTTGACCATTTTTATGTAAGCGTATGTGTGTGCATTTCTAATCTTGCTCATCACATTTCTATAACTTATTTTTGTGACTTATAGCGACTCACGTGCAAATGAGTTTAGTCTCATCTAACGCAGTTAAGCCCTTTTGCTAACTCATTTAGCGGACAAAGTTATCCGCACTATAACAACTTATTGTACACTTATTATTTTGTGCTTGTATGAAATACGTATGCTTGAATATTGCTTACGGCCTACGC